ATGCTAGAGCATTCGCCAAAGTACAGGATAGTTCTAGAAAGCAGAGGGCGTGAGAATAGTCACGTGATCTCGATGACGCAACAATATATTAGTAAGAGATACAAATGAACCTACAAATTATCAGCTGTGTTATGATAGTTGTCACGTTAAAATAATGGTTTTACTTGTAAAATATTCAAAACTTTATGACAATTTACAATTTGTCCAATTTCCTTTATCAATACCATCTTCTTTTATTTTTTTGTAGTTGCATCATTATTTTTATGTTCCTCAACATCATAGAAATTATTCCTTTCAGTTCTGTCAAAGCTACTTAGATCACGTTCCTCTGACTTACAGATTTTTCAATTGGGCCTAATATATTTCTTACATTTTTGATGATGTTATTCAATTTCTCTCGTCTCTTTGGTGTTTCATAATTTCCTATAAGTTTCCTTGTCATTAATAAAGCATCTACACCCTTACCCACCTCTTCAGAAGAGTAATTGACTAATTCACTTGGATGGGCACCACATTTCCTCATTTTTTTATCTTTGGAATGTTAAGAATCTGCTTGTCTCTCCATGCAGCATTTGATGTCTTTGATTAACAGTCGGATTTTATTTCAGTTTCTTTTGTTACATAATGTGTATGTGGTATCTTTTCAACTTGATGTACACAAGTTTGTTTTTCAGCAATGTTATGCTGCTTATGCACCATCCTCTTCCCAACCTTACTGGCTATATTCTTCTTAGGATTCTTAAAAGAGTTAATCCGTTCATTTACGTAAGTAAAACTAGTTTGGTCATTTAGCGGAATACTATAGGAAGTTCATCCCACACTATGCTTCACCACTTACAGACCTGACCAAGAAAGGCCAACCCAACAAGGTGAAGTGGGAACAACCACAGCAGATGGGATTCCAGAAGCTGAAGAACATTGTTACGTCTCCGTTTGTTAATTGATTTTCCGTAACTTCGTTCCGACGAAACTTTAGCGACACAAGTCCTTACTTAATAAAACTGGTTTATTCTTCCTGAATATAACTTTACCGATACACTTGTTTTTAACAGTCGCTCTTTTACAAACGTTTTAACAACGAACGTTAACTTCAACAATACTTCCCGACTGCAGTTCAATTACTCACTACCTACACACATTGTTGTCACGTTGTGAGTGTCTTATATATATACCAGACAAACATATATCTAGTAAATGCTAGGGCATTCACGAAGGAACAAGATAGTTCTATAAACGTGGCGTGACACTAGTCACGTGACCTCGCTGACGCAACAACATGTTAGGAAGCTCGCCTGTCCTTAGAATGTCAGACTTCAACAGAACATTCACCATGAGGTGGGTGTTGTATCTCAAGAACTATAGGCTTCACACTGTAGTCAACAACGTGACTCCAAATGTTGGCGTAGACTGTATGAGTAGACTTTGTGCATGAATTATATATAATAAAAAATATTGCAAATATTTTTCTCCAAGAAGAGCTTATTGTTAGATATACACGACTGTTTTAATTTAAGTATAGCATGTATGTTAAATTTAGTTATTTTTGAAGCAATAGTTTATCGCAGATTTATTTACGTAACTGTGCAAATCATATATTGTGTAGTTCATTTGTCGTAAATTGGCAATTGTTGCATTACTAGAACCTTCTAAGTTTACTCGAGTATCATTGCATCGTAATATCTCGTAACGTGTCGAACGTTCTAGACCTCAGTTGGGTTATTTATAAATAAGCATCCAAAATGTAGTTAGACAAAGTTAATTAGAAATAGATAGATAGACCTAGACTGTTTGTTTTTGTGTTTAGCCATAAAGAACGTATAGAGGAACTTTTTAAAGTGAAATTATCGCAGATTGCATTGTAATAACAATGTAGAGAATAATAATTTGTCTCGTCAATTGTGTTTTACAGTAATTGAGCAAAGCTATGTGGAATTTTAACTAAAAATATCTGGATACAACTGTGGTAACCAGCAGTTATAGATGATTTTAAGGTGGAATTATCATAGATTGTATTGTAATAACAGAGAAGGGAAGAATAATTTTTCTTGTCAAATTGTGTTCTAAAGTAACTGAACCACCCTTTGTCAACTTTGATGAAAAAGAGACAATTGTTTATATCTTTGGATACAAGTGTGACAACCAACAGTATAACGAACATTTGTATTTATAAGTTTGACTTCTTTTAATGTATTGTTACGACAGTGGGAGTCACGTGACGAGTAATATAGTAGATTCGCTAGTGTGTTACGACAGCGGGGTCACGTGACGAATATTCTAGAAGATTCGCTAGTGTGTTGCGACAGCGGGAGTCAATTGACGCTGGTAGCACGTGTTGAGAGTCTTAGAAGTTTCTAGAACAGGCAGTATTATCATATATAAGTGTGCTAGACAGTGAGAGAGACAGAGGGAGTCGAAGCAGTAGTGGAGACAGAGACGTAGCGGAGACGAAGCAGGCAGAGAGAAAGAAAGACAGCGATTATGGTCGGCGGGAACTGAGGATGGCAGACACAGAGATCGGAACTATAGTTTGCAGGG